GAACAAGGATATCCCGAATAGAATCGCTCATACAAAGAACTGGAGAAGCAAGCAGCACGTAACGTGTAGGCTGGGCTGAGCAGATAGTAGAAGGATCTCGAATGAGAAGCTAAGGGTGGAAGGAGGCGCTTTTGTGTCGAAGCCAGGACAAGACAGAAATGGCAATGTACTTTGATCACCAAGCAGGAGACGGAGGCCCGAAGTTTGAAACAACCCCTTTTAGCCGTGCAATTTGTAGCGGACAGAACTCCGACTTTCGGACGAACTGGCTGCAAAAGGGCTAGGTCCCACCCCGTGAGCTCCGGAAGCATCATTATACCGAGAGCCTATTTCCCCGGTGGCTCGTCGTCTTCTTCTACTGTGTTTTCCATCCTTTCCAGCCCCAAGCCTCCCCTGGACTCAACGCATGAAAAGAGTCCCCCAATTTGGGGAAGCAACAATCCCAAACTCAACAAAACGGCGAGAGCCCGCTAAATGAACCGTCACGCGACGCATTTCTACCAAACGGAAGGGTCTGGGGGCGGGGCAACAGTAGCGTTGCCTGGGCAACCCCAATGAGGAGGCAGCGTGCACTTCCGCTTCCTCCTCGGACGGAGGATCCACGCGGGCTCGTCGTCCTGACGTCATTAACTTGCGACGGCGAGGGTCCCGCGATTCCTTGCTTTGACCGCGCTCCCGCCTGAAACGCTAGCGCTTTTTCTCCTTGGAGCCGCTGAGCCGGGAGCCCCGGGGCCGGCGGCGAGATGACTGACCGCTACACCATCCACAGTCAGCTGGAACACCTGCAGTCCAAGTACATCGGCACGGGCCACGCCGACACGACCAAGTGGGAGTGGCTGGTGAACCAGCACCGGGATTCGTACTGCTCCTACATGGGCCACTTCGACCTCCTCAACTACTTCGCCATCGCGGAGAACGAGAGCAAAGCCCGGGTCCGCTTCAACCTGATGGAGAAGATGCTGCAGCCTTGCGGCCCGCCCGCCGACAAGCCCGAGGAGAACTGAGACGCCGCCGCTCGCCGCCGGGCAGGGTACCTCTCCTGGCGTCCCTCTTTGCGCCCGTTTCCCCCGCGCCTACCTGTCCCGAGAGTACCGGTTCTCCATGGCGCCCGCTTCTCTCCCTTCCCCCCTGCAGGTCGCCCCGCCCGGGCTGCCTTCCCGCGTCCCCTTCGGAGCACAGCCCTGCGAGACCGTCAGGAACTGGAGGACTGTGGAGCCATCCTCGAGCCGGCAAGCCGTGGACGGGACTGGGGGGCTCAATTTGGGGTTAACTTGATTGCCATTTGCTTTCCCCATAAAGTAAAAGTTGAGAAATAGACGTTGTTAAGTCTCTTGGTGTGGACTACTTGTGTTCGAGTGCGGAGGGGTCCGGGGAAGGCTCTTGGGACTGAGGTTTTGTGGGAGTCCGAGCTGAAGAGGGGGGCCAGTTGAACTACTGACCGTAGGGTCGGCGGTTTGAATCAGAGGGTGGGAAGGAGAAGGGTGGGGTGGTTGCTCTGCCCTAAAGGGTCTCTGTGAGTCGGAATCCAAGGTGGTGTCAGCGATTTGGTATGTGACAGGCATGCGTTCCGGGGTTTGGGTTTAGCTTGTGCTGAATCTCAGACCGATCTTAAGGCTC